CTAAGGTGTGGAACATGATTCAGAGAATAAAAGGCAAAGGTTCAAAATCTGCTGTTCATGATCTTAAAGATGGTGATAATTTTATTACTGACAAATCTAAAATTGCAGATCAAATGGGCGAAACTCTTGCCAGAAATTCATCATCCGCAAATTATGTCCCTGAGTTTCAGAGATATCAGAAGCAACAGGAAAAGACAAAACTTAATTTCGAATCTCATAACGGTGAAGATTATAATTAAGCGTTTTCATTACATGAGCCGTGATGTTGCTGGAATATTGCTAAAAGCGGCGTAAAACCAAACTCAGTCAGTCTTGAGCAAGCTAATGACACTGCAGTGGGTGATGACAATATACATTACCAGCTACTGAAACACTTACCTGAACCATGTCTGATGACACTTTTAGATATATTTGACCAAATATGGACGTCTGGAGAATTTCCTCCTTCATGGCGTAATGCCATTGTAGTCCCAATACCAAAACCTGGCAAGGATCATACAGATCCGTCGAATTACAGGCCGATCTCTCTAACTAGCTGTGTTTGTAAAACCATGGAACGTATGGTGAAGAATAGATTAACTTGGTATCTTGAAACCAATAAGCTTATAACAAATATTCAATGTGGTTTCAGGAAAAATCGTAGTACCATTGAACATTTGGTACGCCTTGAATCCTTTGTTAAGAATGCTAAGTAAATTAACAACATGCTGTATCAATTTTCTTTGATCTTGAGAAAGCTTATGATACGACCTGGAAGCATGGCATTTTAAAGGATTTACATGACTTTGGTTTGAGAGGCCTTTTGCCTCTTTTTATATAACAGTTTTTAAAAGAGAGGCAATTTCAAGTCCGAGTGGGTTCAACCTTGTCTGATCATTATAATCAGGATCAGGGTGTCCCTCAAAGCAGTATTTAGTCTGTCACTTTATTTAGTATCAAGATCTACCGTTTATCCAAGGTTTTAAACGATTCCATTGATGGATCACTTTTTGTGGATGATTTTAATATTTCTTGTCGTGGTAAAAATATGCATACAATTGAACGGCAATTGCAGTTGTGTTTAAATAAAATCAATAAATGGTGTCTTGAAAACGGTTTTAAATTTTCGAAATCCAAAACTAATTGTCTACACTTTTGTAGAAAATATAAAGACCCGGAACTATCTTTAAATGACACTCCAATCAATGTTGTCAAGGAGGCCAAGTTTTTGGGCCTAATTTTCGACTCTCATTTAACGTTTCTACATCATATTAAATCCCCAAAAACTAAATGCATGAAGGCACTTGACTTGTTGAAAGTTGTTTCAAATTCTAAGTGTGGAGGGGATCAATACACTCTCATACATCTATATCGATCATTGGTCCTCTCGAAACTTGATTATGCCTCCATTGTATATGGTGGAGCCTGCAAAAGCAACTTAAAACTATTATATTCTGTCCATCACCAAGACTTTGTCTTGGATCTTTAAGAACTTCTCCTGTTGACAGTCTCTACGTCGAGGCAGATGAACCATCTCTTACACAAGGTAGTATAAAATTATCCTTGCAGTATATAACAAAACTTTATTCTAACGAGTCTAACCCTGCATTCAACTGTGTCTTTAATCCTCTTCATGAGGATTTGTACAACAAAAAGTCTTCTCTTGTTCCACCTCTTTGTTTAAGAATTAAACCATTCATTTCTGCTGCTGGCATTGAGCTGGTAAATGTAACTCCTTCCCGCCCTCTTTTTTATCCTCCTTGGCAGTTGGCTAGGCAACTAGTTGACCTAACATTAACAGCATTTAAAAAAGGAGAAACTAATGAATTACAATATGAACAAGAATATAATCAATTAAAAAGAAAATATCATACATGCAAATCCTTATTTACAGATGGGTCCAAGGATGGTGGCGCAGTTGCTTGTGCCACTGTCATTGGATCCAGAACAATATCTTCTAGAATACCGGATAACAGCTCTATTTTTACAGCAGAAGCAAACGGCATATTAACAGCTCTTAAATATATTCAAAGACACCCTAAACATAAACAATATATCATCTTTGCTGCCTCTCTTTCTTGCCTTCAGGCTATAAAAAATATTTCTTTTAAACATCCACTTTTATTAGAAATTATCGAATTATCTAATGAACTTGCTACTGGCCAATGCGATATCGTCTTTTGTTTGTTACCCAGCCATGTTGGCATTTCTGGGAATACAATGGCCGATCTTGCTGCCAAGGCAGCACTCAACAAATCTGTGACACCACTTCTTATTCCTTACTCTGCTTACAAAGCTAGCATTAGAACTTACATCCGCGATCTGATGCAGAAGAAGTGGGACACCCAAGTAGGCATAAATAAATTACATGAAATAAAACCCTATATTGGTTACACCTACTTGGATTTTCAGTCCAGATTTGAAGGGGTCATCATGCGACGATGTCGTATTTGCCATATAAGGTCACTCACAAATATTTGTTAAATTGTGTATCCCTTGTGATGAGAGAGTCACAGTCAAGCATCTCCTGCTTGACTGTGTTGAATTCTCGATCATAATGGATAAATATTTCATTGTTAAAACTGTTAAGGATCTTTTTAATTCTGTTCATCTTCATTTAATTCTTGCCTTTTTAAAAGAAATTGATTTAATTAATGAATTTTTATAAGTATGTTCTGTAGATAGATGTGTTTTAATGATTGGTAGTGTAGATTATGAGCTTAGATTGTTAGTGGCCTTATCCTCAAAGGGGGTTGAAGTAGCATAAAATTATTGTCCTCCTGAGAGGGTACGTAAGTCCAAAAAAATCCAAAGTAAACTTTTCACGTCCTGTGTTTTAAACGTAGTGTTCTTGTCATTTCAATTTGTGGCTAAATTTTCTTACTTTTCGCCAACAGCTGAAGGGATGGTGTAAATCCAGCTAGGGTCCATGCAGGTAACAAAAGTAATGTAAGTCCCCATGGTCCCTAATTTGGTGATCTACCTTCAGTTGTTGGCGATCTATAGCCCGTTTTTATATTGTATTGTCTTCGTAAATAAATTAGTTTTACATGTTCATGCTAGTTTTAAACTCCATCTGTGATACTGTAGTTATATTACAGTCCTTCGATGACTGATTATTTAGCAACTTCAATTTATTGTTTATGTAAAACATTTCTCGTCAGTATATGGCTGAAATATTGCTGAGGTGACGTTAAATTCTAACGAACTCACTCTACTCCTGTATCCTTGGTATCCAAGTGCAGTGAGTGAACCCATCTCTCATCACTGCATATCCAAGTGCAAAGTTTGATTCCATCTCTCATCACTGTGTGTTCATGTGCAAAGTGTAAATCCATTTGTCATCACTGTGTATTTATACTGTGTTTTCATGTGCATTGTCTGATTCCATCTCTCATCACTGTGTGTCCACGTGCACTGTGCGATTCCATCTCTTATCGCTGTGTGTCCACGTGCAGTGTGTGAATCCATCTCTCATCACTGTGTATTCATGTGCAAATTGTGATTCCATCTCCCATCACTGTGTGTCTATGTGCAGGGAATGAATCCATCCTATCATCACTGTGTTCAAGTGCAGTGTGTGAATCCATCTCTCATCACTGTGTATCCATGTGCAGTGTGTGAATCCATCTCTAATGTGTGAATACATCTCTCATCACTGTGTGTCTATGTGCAGTGTATGAAACCATCTCTTATCACTGTGTGTCCATGTGCAGTGTGTCAATCCATCTCTCATCAATGTGTGTCCATATGCAGTGTATGAATCCATCTCTCATCACTGTGTATCCATGTGCAGTGTGTGAATCCATCTTTCTTATGTGTGAATACATCTCTCATCACTGTGTGTCTATGTGCAGTGTGTGAAACCATCTCCTATCACTGTGTGTCCATGTGCAGTGTGTTTATCCATCTCTCATCAATGTATGTCCATGTGGAATCTGTGATTCCATGTCTCGTCACTGTTTGTCCATGTGCAGTGTCTGAATCCATATCTCATGACGGTGGGTTCATGTGCATTGTCTGATTCCATCTCTCATCACTGTGTGTCTATGTGCAGTGTGTGAAACCATCTCCTATCACTGTGTGTCCATGTGCAGTGTGTTTATCCATCTCTCATCAATGTATGTCCATGTGGAATCTGTGATTCCATGTCTCGTCACTGTTTGTCCATGTGCAGTGGCTGAATCCATATCTCATGACGGTGGGTTCATGTGCATTGTCTGATTCCATCCCTCATCACTGTGTGTCCTTGTGCAGTGTGTGATTCCACCTCTCATCACCGTGTGTCCATATGCAATGTGAGAATCCATTTGTCATCACTATACATCCATGTGCAATTTGTCAATCCATCTGTCATCAATGTGTGTTCATGTGCAACATGTGAATCCATCTCTCATGACCGTGTGTTCATGTGGAAGTGTATGAATCAATGTCTCATCACTGTGTGTCCATGTGCAATGGGGAATCCATCTCTCTGCACTGTGTATCCATGTGCAGTGTATGAATCGATTTCTGATCACTGTGTGTCCATGTGCAGTGTGTGAATCTACCTCCCATCGATTTGTGTCTATGTGCAATGTGTGAATCCATCTCTCATCACTGTGCATCCATGTGCAATGTGTAGACCATGTGTAACATTCTGTTCAACCATCTCTCCACGAATTGTTTGGCTGAATTCGCTGGTACTTACCATTTGTCACTCACAGTCCCCAAGTGTCCCTCGTAGTCCCCACGTGTCCCTCGTAGTCCTCTAGGTTCCCTTGTAATTCCCACGTGTAGGCCTATTGAGTGAACAGCCTCCTGCTATACTGTTGAAGAGAATACTGGGTATCTCATTTTGTCGATCTATCTACACTACGGAATCATACCAATCACAAAGACGTCATCATCAGACGTTGACCTGTCCAATAAAAGTTCCTTATAACGTTAGCTTGACCTTAAGCCCGCCCGTGCATTTGGACGCACGTATGCAATAAAAATTTGTGCACCTACCAATTTTCTGTACCATCCCTCTGTTTCAGTCCTCGAGTGCCTCCAAAAGAAGGGGTCATTCATCACGTGCGTCTCTGTGTGCATCCTGAGAAAGTTTGCTTTCCTCCAGGCTCGCCCATTGATGATTCACTATTGAGATTCGAACGCAACCTTCCGCCAAAGGTGAAGCAGGCGATGAAGGAAATAGGGTTGCTGTGACCCGATCTGACTTTGTCAACACACAGTGGAACAACGTCCCTACAGCTCGGTCAATCCGCCCGTCTGCTCACATCTATGGAGGAAATCTGGGAAAGAGTGCCTTCCGTTCCCCCATATGATTGCCCACTTCTTTCTTCCGCATGTTAACAGATGTAACACAGTGTGGTTTGACCCTATATATCGTAATATAATTTGGGCTTTTAGTTATTTTTGTGAGTTCTCTACTAATTGTTGTATTAGGTTTTGTTAATAATTTTAGCGTTAATGCAAGATTCATATATTTCATTTATTCTGTGCACATTTTCCTCCTGCAGATATTTCCACATAATTTTGATTTGCATATTTCATGCATTATAAATGTGTGTGTGTGCGTGCGTGCGTGCGCACGTGCGTGTGCGCAATTGTTTGAGTGGAATAAAACTGTGGCGAGAGCACAGTCCACAGTATTTTCATATAGAGTGAGTCATATCTCTGAAAGAATATTAATTTTCCCTTTCTTAGAGACACCAATCAAATTTACAAGGGTGGTTCAAAACAATGAGGGTCACATCCAAAACTGCATTAACAACTTACGGGTACACATATGTAGCGATACACCTGTATAATAGGTTCAAATGCTGCATACAGTCATTCACTGTACAATGAGATGATAATCAGTCGGTTGAAGAACACTAGTTGCGATTACAATGCACAAAGGCTTCAACCTCATCCCATCTGTGTGGACCCAGGACACGGTAGAGTTGAGTCCCTTAGACATCCAGGCTAGATATTCTCGAAACGTCCGTAGCCCTACGAACTTCATAAGCCCATTCTTAACACATTGGCCACGATCAAAGTTACGAATTCTTATGGCTACGAACGTTTCGAGAATAAAAGCGAGACCTTTGATAGTGATTTCTAAGGACATTTTCCCCTGTTAATGTTTATTAGTTTATCAGCACTAAACCCAGTCTCGTCAATTTCATGTATGTCGTAAAAATCTCAGTCGTCTAACTAACTTTCTCATTACTGTTTTGCATCAAACTGATATAAAATAAAAATCTGTTCAAAACGGGGTCAAACCTAACTTACTCACTAACTAACTCAGCTAACGTGATCAGTTAACTCTATCGATGGAGTGGTTCTACACTCTTCAAAAAAAGAAACGCATATGTGATTTTGAGAACAGTGGACTCATGTATCTGTGACAAAAACAATACAAACATACTGCTTCTTTCCCCAAAACGTTAACTTTGCGCCATTGTAAACAGCCTCGGCGCCAAAACGCGGCAATGTAGATTTTTTTCTCCTGTCTTAGAAGCGTTTCAAGTAACATTCGCCAAAACGTCACCAAGAAAACGTGCGAAGTAAAATGTGGAAAGCATGCGATATCGATTACTAAAAAAAACAAACGTTGTGTTTAACTTTATCGTTTTTCCCTGGAAAAGAGGAAATCATCATGCCACGACTGAATGCCGCCAATCGAAACTAAAACACAACAATAGCTGTTTTTGTTTGCGAACTCTTTGTCCATTAACGTGTGAATTTTTACCTTTTAACCATTGAAATTACATGAAATAATTGCTCTTGAATTAGCGCAATAAATTCTTCTAAAAATGGCTTTTTTCAAGAGTATAGCAGAATGTATTTCGTTTACTTTGCGCTTGAATGGATATACTTGGACCGCCATATGAGCTTGCTTATCACCATTAATAGTATTTTGCTTTATCGTTAACAATGTTATGGTATTTGCAATCGATTTGTCATGCATCAATAGTTGATTTGAAGATATTTTGAAATGGTAATGAAACACAGCAACAAACAGTGGTGGTGTATGGTCCTGTGCATAGAGCTCAGGTCACAATCAGTTGAAGTTATTACAGTGCATATATTTCTTCATACATTTTTATATTTTTCACAAATTATTCATAACAAAGAAAATCCGTATACGTGCAAGTCGCAGTGCATAGTGTATCTTGTTTATAGCCCCGCATGGCAAGCGCAGTAGTAGGCAATTAGCAAACGCGTCCACGCCAACCTTAAACTAATTAATCAAAGATGAAGCTAGCGAGCTGTGTCGGCTCCGGCCTTTCTTCTCGGGTACATCCCTTGGTCAAAGCACAGATAAGTAGTCCCATCCCAGCAGGAGCATGTCTACCACCAACTAAGTCGTAATCGAAAATCAACTTTTGTTGAACAAGATCGAGATTACCATCATGCCATCCTCTTTGTCCTGTCGTAAATGCCATGGTCAAGCGCTGACAGATATTTTGTTAAGCAGCTGGCGCAAGCTGACCGTGGCTACACCACAAAGAAAATCAAACCTTGTTAGGTAATCATCTTCTTACCACCTACCTCGTGTAGTTAACCTTGTCAGCATAGGGTAGATAACGCATATGGAAACTTCAACTTTATAGAAACTTGATAATGACAAACGAGTAGAGCTGTGGGGTATAAAATCCTGGGTTCTTCCATCTCAGGCACACTTGCTTGAATAAACCCTGGATCTCACAGCTCTGGCTCCTTTCTTGTTTCAAGGTAAGAAACATTTAAACTTTAGTCTTGTTTAACTTGTTATTTCTTTGTAATTATCGTCTAGAAAATGTTAGAGTTAGGTTAGAAACATTCCTACAACATTGAAGCACTTTGGCATTGCAAATGCTAGTTCTAGATAACCGATTAATTATTAGGCACTACCCAGGGATATTTATTTATGCACATTGCGTCGTGGGCTCCTCAAGTTTTATGTTTTTCATGTACAAACGAATATTTCTTTTCTATGTTTCGACACACATGTGTGTATTCCCAGTCCTTGTCTTGTTTTATTCATTTGCGTGTTAGATCTGTATATGCAGGTTAGATTCCCGTTCAGTAGCCTAGATTCTAGTAGCTTAGTCAAAAAAAAAAACAGTTCCGAGAGTTTATACAATCATTTCCAGCAAAGACGAAGTTGTATGTATTTTACGATAGTCCGCCGATCAAATGATATTCGTGTAGATTTACCTCAGATACGCTCTCACATGATAGGTATAACAGCCAACATTTGTGTTTTGATATTTCACCAACACTATAAGTATTTGAATAATGATATATTAAATGTTCCGTTCCGCGTGCAGTTGTATACCGTACAGAACAGTTTATACGCGAATCACATTACCGTAATCAGTAGAAAATGGTATTGTCTACTCTGCATATTACCAGAAAATATACATTCAAATCCGTGTAGTTTGCAATTACAGTCTTCGTTCCGTATTTGTTTAGCTCCGTAATTTAAGAAATACGCGTAGCCAATAACAACAGCGCCGTCCTGGTACATTATTACATATTCATTTAACTAAGTTACTGTCTTGTTTCGTAAAGCACAAAAATGTAGCACTACAGCATTACATATATTCTAGGTCATGGCTTAACTCCGTATATGTCGAAATTACACGTTGCCAATAGCAACATCACCGTCGAAATACATTTACCGTAGTCACCCAAATAATTCAGGATGGGACAAAGTAGTACTCTAGCTAAAACTATATCGTCTGTCCCCGTAGTTACACATATTTATATCACTCTCTAGTTCCACTTACCGTATCTACCGAAATTATTGTATTGAGGAAAATAAATGTTAACATTACAGTAAGAATGCGTACAGTCAATACCGGAGTTAAATGGTATATGTCAAATCTGAGCACTTCGCGCCGTTTACCGTATTTGCTCAAGGCATGTATGTTGATAACGGAAATTACTTACACCAGTCATAAATCGTTACCGTAGTTAATGCATTAAGCGCGACATACCGTAATAATAGTAAATTCCTACCGTAGTTAACGCAATAGGCACTACATACCGTAATTGTCATAAATCGGTACCGTAGTTAACGCATTAGGAGCGACATAACGTAATAGTCATAAATCCGCACAATAGTTAATGAACTATAGGCACTACATGCTGTAATTAAACTGTTGGGCGCTCCACTCAGTACTTGTTCTTTGCAATTGTTGTTGATGATTAATTTATCCGTCAGGTTATGTTATTTATCAGTACCGTAGTTACTCAAGAAAATGTTGTATTATTTGTATTATGTTTCTGTAAGCAGTTACCGTACATACCCTGTTGTACCACACATGGCTTATATTACCGGACTTAGATATAAACTGTATTAGGATATCATTGATTACTATTTCTATTATTGTATGTCATTATTATGTATGAACTGATGTATATTGAATGTCATGCAACGAGACTTGCTTGAATAAACCCTGGATCTCACAGCTCTGGCTCCTTTCTTGTTTCAAGGTTTCAAGGCTTGCTCCCTATAGCTAATTCCCCAAATCGAGGCCTGACAGCACCTTTAGTACACCTAGCGCTAAAGGTCGTCCTAGGGGACACAAAAAGAAAGGCTGTCTTAATTGGTGGAAACGTTCGATCCTCGATGCCTGGAGCCAACCCTGAAAACTACAAGTTGAGACTGCGCAGTTTCCCTGAGAAGTTCCAAACACCTAAGCCCCCAACACCATCTCCACAGACCAATACCACAACACTATGTCAGACGACACCATCACCCACTTTATCAACGGATGAGACAAGGTCAGACATCACATCACAGACCCTTGACAGTTCGCCTCAATGCACCCAGCAACATCCCACAACAAAGGCGCAAGTACACCTTCCAAAATACAATGGACAACAGGATGCTGAAAGTTGGTGGGCAGATTTTGCCAACTTTAACATCCTCCATGGACATTCAGACTACATCTCCTGTAGAATTCTGCCATTCTACTTGGACGACGCTGCAAAGGTATGGTTTCTCTGCCTGCCTGAAACCACACAACGCGACATGCAGTCACTGAAGGCAGCCTTCAAACAACGTTTTCGGCGTTCCTTTGACATGGGTCTTCTACACATGGTACAGAAGGAGCAGGAAACGATAGAAGACTACATCACCAGGGTGCAATCATCCATGTTGCACTCCACATTGCCACAATCTGTGATAGTAGCTATTGCAATCAATGGGCTACTCCCACAGATTAAGCAGTGGGTGTACACGAAAGAGCCAGCAACCCTGGACGAGGTTCGCCACCAGGCACAGCTGGCTGCACAGTCGCAGGCTCCCAGCACAGCAGAGGTCGGCTTGGTCCAACAAGTTGAACAATTAACAAACTTGGTGGCCATGCTGATCACAACAAACAGGGCCTGTGCTGTACAGTCAGCAACGCCTTCAACTGGTCTACAGCAGCAAGAGCCCTGGGAACACCACCACAGACAACAGACACCTTCCCCAGCAACACAGCAACAGTACCAACCACCACAACCAGCACCACAGCAGCAGCAGTACCACCCATCACCACCACCACAACAACAGCAGCAGTACCAACCACCACCACAGCAACAGCAGCTGTACCAACCACCACCACAGCAACAGCAGCAGCAACAGCCACCACCACAGCAACAGCAGCAGCACCAACCACTACCATCACCACAGCAACAGCAGCAGTACCAACCATCACCATCACCACAGCAGCAGCAATACCAACCATCACCATCACTACCACCACAGCAACAGCAGCCGTACCAACCACCACCACCACAGCAACAACAACACCAGCCATCTCCACAGCAGTACCACCCAGCACCAAACCAGTATCAAGCCTCACTTCATCAACCATACAGCTCAGCGCAGCAACACCCACCACCCAGCCCCAGCAGCCGACTATCGACTCCACAGCATCTTCAAGGCAGATGTCGCAGATGTGGTGAGTTTTTTCGGTTCCCTCACAATTGCCCTCATAGAAACACAATATGCAGCTACTGTGGTATAACTGGTCACCATACTAAAGTTTGCATGCGTGCATATTATGCTTAAGGCAGTCAGTCACAAAAAGTATGCACGCCTGATTCTCAACATTCTGGGGTCAGGCAAGAGTCAGATTTTGTATCTCTTGTGGCACCCTTGACAAAGAACTCTGTTCATGTCAAGGTGAAACAAGTCAGAACATTAGCTCTTGTTGACACAGGTGCCTCAGTTAGCTGTGTCAGCATGAGGTACTTACGCAAAATAGGTATCAAACCCTTTCATTTAGGCCCATCTCACCTCACTGAAATCATTGGTGTAGGAGGTGAAAAACACTCTGTGCTAGGTTCTATCTCTCTTGACATCAACATAGGTCACATCTATCTCTCTCAAACCTTTCATGTCTTCCATAACCTACATCACTCACTCATCTTAGGCATTGACTTCCTTGAGTCCAACAAAGTCACCATAGACCTGCCCTCAAAGTGCTTACACATACACGAAGGTCTTGTGTCTGTCTCTCTGGCATCAATCAATGGAGGTTATATAAGGCCATACAAATCTGTTGTCATTCCCCCACACTCTCAAGCTGACATTCCCATCAAAATTTCTCATTGTCAACAAGGTCAAGTTTTTCTCTTGGAACCCGTCCCAGCACTAAATGACATGGAGCTCCAAGGTGCCAAATGTCTCATTACAAACCACCCCAAATCAGTTTGCATGAGATTACTTAATGCAAGTGACAGCCATGTCACACTGTTTTCTAAAACTGTCATTGCTGTTGCCTCAGAGATTGACCCTACATCTGTCCTTGACCTCCCTGACACGTCTGATTC